AAAATATTTTTAATTAAAAAATTATTATTTTATAATTTAATATAATTTAAATTTTAAAAAAAATATTCTTCCCTGAAAAAACTGTCTCAAAATGTAAAATAGCTTATAACCTAATGGTTAAATGCTAAATTTGGTCCCTCAACTTTAGTGAGTTGCACATTTTTGATCCCTCAACAATTTTTTGCACTTTTTTGATCCCTCAACTATACGAAATGCACTCCGTTAGTCCTTCTGTTAATTTGGACCGTTAACTCTGCTTATGTGGCATTTTTTATATATTTTTTGATGATGTGGAGAGCAAAATTTAAAAAAGTGATGATATGTACAAAAACCTTTGCCATGTCATGCTACCGTGACCAAAACGCGCCAAACCCATCTAAATGGGTCCCACATCACCACTAAGAATTGCTTCTTCGCCTGTGAATTGCTTCTTTGCCCGTTGATTTCTGCTTCTGTTCTTTCTATCGACGATGTTCTTTCCATTTTCAAAATTGAAATCATTTAAACAATACTTAAAAAATATAAAGAAAAAAATCTCAAAAATCACTCACAACAACCTACATTTGGATAATCTTTTAATAAACAAACATATAACAAAATTAAAAAAAAAAAAAAGGGGTTCCAATAGGTTCCCTCGAACTCAGCTCGATTCACTTTGCCCATCGGAAGTTCGACGGAACCCAGCAAATCTGGGTTCGATGTAATCCAGCAAATAGGTTTCATCGAACCCAGCTCAATTCACTGAACCCAGTTGTTCAAAAACAACTCGCAATAACCTGCAATTGGATAATCTCTTTGGCAAACAATCATATAACAAAAAAAAAAACCAATTGCCCAAAAATCACTCACAACAACCTGCAATTTGGATAATCTGCAAACAACCGTATAAAAAAAAAAAAAAGTGGAGCTGGGTTCAGTGGAACCCAGCAGATCTGGGTTTGACGGAACCCAGTGGCTGGGTTCCGTTAGATGACCTGCGGAAGAAGAGGAAGAAAGACCCGAGGAAGAAGAGGAAGAAAGAAGAGGAAGAAAGAAAAAGAAAAAAAAAAAAGGAAGAAAATGGATAGAATTATTTTATTTAATTTTTTAAAAATATAAATAATAATAATGTGAGTTGGCATATGAGCTGTAATTAAAAAAAATTTTAAATCGACACGTTTTTAATTTGTGTTTGCCACGTCATCAAAAAAAAACTATAAAAAATGCTATATCAGCGAGTTAACGGCTCAAATTAACAGAAGGACTAACAGAGTGCATTTCGTATAGTTGAGGGATCAAAAAAATACAAAAAATTATTGAGGGATAAAAAATATGCAACTCACTAAAGTTGAGGGACCAAATTTAACATTTAACCTAACCTAATTTCATTTTGGTGGTGAAACTGACCAGGAACGATACGCCTGTCCTGAATTAAAAACATCGGTACCGCTCACATCTACCATGCGGAATGATAGCCACCTGACCCGACGCCGACTCATCCTGATCCACTCCACGACAAGAGTCAAAATAATTCACCTGATCATCAGATCAGGTAAAAACTTTTGTTGGGCCCCATTTGCCACGAAGCCCCGAACTACTCCGATGTGGACTGCCGCAAGGTACGTAACGTTATGTTGGTCCTCACTTCACCGTTCATCCTCCGTTGCAATTTGGGATGTTCCATCAATGGTTTTGGGTGGTTAAGAGAAATGATTGTAGGTAATTAAAATATTAAGAATGATAATAAAAAAGTTTAAATATTTTTAATAAATTAATATGTAAAAAATTTATTAAAGATATTTAAATAATTTAATTTATGTTTTTTGATGTCTTTATTTTTACTATTTTCTTAAAATAAATAAATTTAAAAAATATTACATATCAATTTCAATTTTAAAAAATAAAATTTTAACATTAATTTTGAAAATTTGTAAACTAATTAATCAAAAATCAAACTGAACTTGAGTTTAATGTTCCAAACATAAGTTCATAATGTTTTATCATCTAATTCATGATTCCGTAATTCCGTTGCCTGAACATCATTAACTCCTTTTATTGTTATACCTTTCACGACACTTTCATTACAACAGAATTATTAAGTAATGATGACTATTAATAACAGTGGCAAATAGGACTTAGCAGAAGCTAACCATTCCTTAAAATTAGTAAGATTAGAGTGAAATTTGCTATATCATAATTTTAGAAGTAGATGTCTAAAGTGAAATTTCAGCTTATCTCCCTTAACATATTTGATCATTTAATTTACAGCTGCTCAGCATCAAAAACCAATGGCGTTTGGTCCCCATTTTTCTATTTCGATTCCCCATTATTGATTTGGTTTCAGAAAAGGGGAAACTTTAAATTGATATAGATTTTTTTCCATTTTAGTATTATTGTTTCGCCACACTTGGGCATTGCCTGTTAATATTTACAATGTGGGCTGGAGTAAGTTGGGCCCAGCTTTAAGCTTTTGTTTTTTTCTGTTGGATTTAAGCTTATAATATGTTATAATTGTTTATTTTAATCCTTTTTTTTTAATTTTGGGTAAATAGATAGGATGTGGTTTTTAGTAGAATTTATATAATTTATATTTTTTGTGCAGAAAAAGATTTAAATGCATGATAAAAGAAAATTTTGGAGTTAATTAAATATTATTTAAAAGTTAAGGGACTGTATTGGGGGAAGAAAAGTAACCTTCAGGGATCTAAGTCTATGATTATAAAGTTATAGAACTAAATTGTTCATTGTATAGAAATCGGAGGACCAGATTGACATTTTATTATTAAAAAATTGCAAAATGATCTAAAAACCCGACACGGGTTTGGTGTCGACGCTACCTATTAGGTGTGGACACCATGCATTAAGCCTTTCAAATATATATATATACATATGCAGGATGAAATAAATAAGAGTGCCGATACCCAAGTTATAGTGTTGACACACAAGCACTTTTAGCTTCGAAAATTTTTATTTTGTTACATGTCCAACTTTTCTCAGTGGGATTTTCTTAAATTTTATAAGATATTCAGTAAAAATAAGATTTGAGAGATTTTGCAAATTAAGAAAGGGACAACAATGAGAATTTTAACATAAATAAATTAAAATTTAAGATTTTATATTGTGAAATTAGTTTTGTTTGTATTTAATTTTTTTATGATGTTAAACATTTTTATATTTATTATAAAATATTTAATTTTTTGTTTTATTATAAATTTATTTAGTTATTTAAGGTTATAACATAAAATGATTATTCTAATATAAAACTTTATAATTTTTATACTTATTATTTTATGTAAAGTATATGTTATTATTTTTAATACTTTTAATGATTAATCACTATTAAAATTAATTTTACGAGTATAACTGAGATTGAAACAAGATTTTATATAATAATTTTTAGTAATATATATTATAAATTAAATAAAAAAATTAAAGTGATTTATGAAGTATTAGTGATAAGTAAACTTAAAATTTTTTTTATAACTTAAGAAGTTTCACGAAATATAATATATTTTTATTTATTTAAATTTATATAAAAATATAATGAGTTAATAAATAATGATATGTTTAATATAACTTTAAAAAATGTATTAAGCAAATTAAAAAATTTTGTTGCTATATTTATAACAAATACCTTAGAAGTATATTAATTTAAATTTTATATTAGTAAATTATAATAAAATTTTTTTGAATTTTGAGTTGAATTCGGATCTCATACTTTTCAAACCTTAACATGAGAAGCATCTAATAAGGGATAATGACTACTAAGACTACAAGAGGGTTCTCAATTAATTATAATAAAATTTGATGCAGTAAAATTTTAACTTTTAATGTAACTTAAAATTAATTTAATTTTTAATTAATTTATTAATATTATTTAATTTTAATTATTTGAATAAAATAAAAAAAATTAATATTTAATTAATTATAATTTTTATAAAATAATATTTAATTATTATTATTACTATACTATTTAAAATAACAATTATCTTTATTAGAGTCAAATTAATTCATCAATGCCGGTATCTCTTTCGATTAATAATGGCCTTCACCAACAAACTGTTGTTCCGAGTGGAAGGAACTCAGTTTCTCTTAAATAAGGTCTCGAGTTCGAGTCTTATAAATGGAGAAACAGAAATTGAGAGAGCTTTCCCCCTAATGGGGTCTGACGTGACTCGATTCCAAATTAGTCGGGACCCAAAGTGATTACCGAATACTGAGAAATTAATAAAAAAAAAAAAAATAATGACTTTCGTACGTCACAATCAAACAAATCGCCAAAAAGGAATGAAACTCGCAATATAATATAATTATAAGGTACGAATCAGAAGAAACCTTCTTTCATAAAAGCAATACTAAGGACAGTCGACCTTCGCCACTCGCTCCGTCATTCTCCTCACCGTAACTGCTTTCATCCGATGGCTTACGAACTTTTTCCCTTTCTAATTTTGAAATGGATTTTAAAAATCCTTGTCTATTTTGTGCACCAGAAAAAACATATACATGCATTGAAAAAGACATGGTTGAAGGGAAATGATCGATTGAGGACTCAATTGTGGCTGGAAGGCAAAATTCTGCAAAAATCAAAGGAATTTGGGGAAATTTAAAGGTAAATTCTGTTTCAATTCAAGGTGTCTTGGTGCAGAAATAGGAAATTTAAAAAGATGAGAGGGGATTATGAGTGAAAGCTAGCAATTTAAAAGATGTTAGGGTTTAGGGATTCCATATTTTTCTCTTCACCTCAAAAGAATTTCTGGGTGTTTTAGGAGTTGAAAGAGGGTGAAATTCGTGGAGGAGAAGGGCAAATCCAGAATTGGTCCCTGATTACTTCTTTGTGTTGTGATTTCAAACCTGTCCCATGTTGTAGAATTCATAACTTAAATTCACATAGAAGCGTCTAATTGTTGTAGTTATTAATTTGGTTGTAGGGTTAAAGGTTGCAGTAGAGTGGTCATGGATCGGCTCAGTGCTTCTGCACGTCCCATAATAGTTTCTGATCTTGATCATACAATGGTAGGTTTCATAAATTCTCGCTTCACTCCGAAGTGATGTCGTGCTTGTATTGCTATTAGTTACTTGAATTGGACATGGTGCTCTGTCTGCAGGTTGATCATCATGATGTTGAGAATGTATCCCTACTCTGCTGCTACATATATCATGCCAGGTGGAAATAAAAAGTCCCTGCTAGTTTGGAGTGTTGGCTGATGGTTTAACTTGAGTATAGGTATACATAGAAGTATATAGCTAGCATTTATTGGGAACATTAGGAAAGCAAATTTATCCTAAAATAATAAACTGATAAAGTGAAGAAAACTTTTAGATTAAATTCCTGTACCTAGAACCAGTACTAGGACTAAGTTACATTTTACTTTGATTGGAACCTATTGACATTTTTGCACCAACTTTTATTATTTTTCTTTATCTAATGTATCTACTACGAAATGCTGTTTCCACTTTTCATTTCTTGTTGGAATACTTTATGATCTATGTTCAGAAAGAACCATCGTTTTTAATTCTTCTTTCTTCAAGATCCATCTGGTATTGAGAAAACTCTACATGAATGCATACATAAATTGAAAGGGCAATGTGGATACAAGCAGGGAAAAAAGTTTTGGGTTTGGGTGGATTGTGTATTATCTACACAGATTGGTGAGATTTCTTTATATGTTCTTCTATATCTGCTCAATCTTCGCATCTTTTCAATTTAAACTAAGATGTCATATCTGTCCTAATTTATTTACCTTTCTTGCATTCATCTCTCTGTGGATATATGGTAGTAAATGTCTCTAACTTGGAAGACCACTAATAGGAATTTGCATGTGAACTTAATGGCTTTGAGCCCTTGATTTCTATTTTAGTATATTTATATAGAGACCAATCCATGGGTGTTTCTTAATCTGATAAATGCTGCTTTAGGGCAAAAGATTGTTTTAAACCTTATCAAAGACTTGGATGTCATAGCATTTCAAGAATCCCAAGACTACAGTCCCAAGGTTTAACTTGTCATACAAATGCTTCATTTTACATATTTTCTTTAGGCAAAAAAAAATTTTCAAATCCAGATATTAGCTGTACTTAGGGCTGTTACTAACAGTTAGCTTTTCAACTGACATTCTTGTGCTGACTTTTATAGGTAATATGCAGTGCTGTTATGCAACCACTGGAAAGATGAGTTCTAAGGTAAGAAAGTTAGAACATTATAATGTGTAAACCAACTTTTCGAAATGATTCGCTTAGATGATGGATTTGTGGATTTCAGGAGGGCGAGGGTTCCCATGGGTTTACTTGGATGCATGTACAACAGACATAGCTGTAAGGATTAAAAATGAAAGACCATTCAGCCTGGCTATTCTAAATAGATATTAGATTTTATTCCTGACATTTCCGGCTCCGGAGTATTTAGTATTCAATTGAAGTAAATGTCCTCTAGATGTTAATATTTCATTTTTTATGTATAAAACTATATACATAGTCACAAGATACTGAAATCATTCCCTTTGTAACTTTTATTATTATTTGTTTAGGGTTTGAACTAAGTTCTCAAACTTAAGGTGGGTATGAATAAATTAATTACATTTCATTTTTTAAGAACAACAACTATCTGTTTTACTCGTTGAGTTCAAAAATGTATATATGGATCAAATGCCAAAGCTTTGTTTGGGTTGAAAGTATTTGCAAGTCCAATTATAGTCTATCACCAAATAGTCTATCCAGTACAACTAATAACTTGAATTTGAATAGGGATCACAGAGATAAATCTGAGCTTTTCTGGTATTTGGAGATTCATGGATCAAAAACCAATCTGCGTATATAACACATTGTTTCAAAAGGGCTCACCAAATACCACATTCAACCAGTATTCTTCTGTGTGTGCAATTAAATGGAAAATAATCAAACATAAGAATAAATCAAGCAATTAACAAGAATAAAAATCATCACATCCACAAAATCAGGACACTAGATTTTCTAATGTAAAAATTCCTTAAGGGAAAAAAACAACATGACCTAGTCCAGTAAAAACACATCCACTATAAAAATAGCATTAATCATCACCAAAACAAAGTTGGAAGTCAAAATCTCCAATCAAATTGTGAATCTCATTAAGTGCGCTGAGAGTGTACCAAGGGGAATTGGAGACCAAATCACTCTTGATCATCTGGCAAAACCATAACTCCTCTACTACCTTTCTGCTGCTATTGCAAATTGCAAATCACTCTCACTGTCTCTCAACTGCTTTATGCAATGAGGATCAACACCAGCTGCTATTTAAAGCTCCACTGACTTGATACATTCAAAGTCCAAGCTGCATGCAGTTCATGTATGCGTTCACGAAGAGTTTTCTAACACCACACAGATGGATACATACAACAAAAGAATCCTGAAGAAATAAGCAACTAACATGGTTAGTTAAAATATTCAAGTATGGTATAAATTAGTCTCAGAATAAGTCCTCCTACAATTAATAACTTGGATTTAAAATTTTAAAATCTGCACACGTTAAGGGATTAAAATGTGACGATGCACCTTGAAATGATTTGTGCATATTGTTGCCATCCACCTTCATATATATAATCGAATTGTCCTTGATTTTGGGAATTGATCAAGGGAAGTTACTAGAAAAACTCAAAGAAATCCATGTCCTGCAAAAATGACTTAAAGCTTAGCATTATCTTGATGAAATGATAAAAAATCACTCTGAACTACTAAAGGAGGAGAAAGTGAACCCCTACCTTACTAGAGAGGGGCGTTCTTTGGAGGGTAGAAAATTATAGCTGAAAGCCTACAACTACGACAGATTTGTAAACACCATCATTTTTCATCAAGTTGTTAGATCTTGAAGCTACTTTGCAAGTCAGCCCATTGTTAAGCAAAGCAGCAGTGTTTGTGTCACAATCTTGGCAGTGACTTGGGACGAGTAAAGAGAGAATGCAGTACACATTGTTGGATCATTCATTTCTGACTTATCCTACTGGAAGTATCATTTCCCACATAAAAGGCAACATTAATGTCAAAGCATCTAGCACCTGCTTTCTGAAGAAAGATATTGCCTGAAAAGGGAGGCTTGAACTTGGAATCTTGGATCAATCACCTTTGAACTAATCCTATAGTTGACTTGAAAGAGGCAAAGGGTTTAATAAGATGCTACTAGATTCAAGACATGCACTAAGTTGGAGGTTACACAGTTGTAGGAAAGCAGTCCCTAAAATTATGGGAAATGTGAGATATGAAGATAATTTCTGGCACATAAAAGGAAAAAGGAAGTCACAAAACAAAGGGATCCTACATAAGCCTAACAAGATTTTGTTGTATCCTCTGTACAAGCAATACGGAACATAAAAAAAAAAAAAAAAAGAATGGAAAAATAGAAAAATCAAAGGCTAAATTGAATTTAGAGCACATAGAAAGCATCAATTGTAACATTAAAAAAACAGAAGAGGGATAAGTGAATTGCAGAAATGAAATCGAAGTAAAATAATAACAAAAAACTGTAAAATTCTATATAATTTGGAAAAAAAATTGAAAAAATTGTAGAATAAATGATAGAAATTAGTCAATCTTTAATGCAATGAATATATATTAATCAAGAGAAAGGAGCAATGGGAAACAATCATTTAATTCCAAGGCAGCTAACATCATAGATAGCAGAGGAATATACTAGTATATCATCAAAATGTATAATTTTGCTCAAGTAAAAGGAACTATAGAGATAGCTTGATATATCAGTTTTGATTCCTTGTCCTAAACAATAACAGTAGTAAAGCAAATAGGCATCACAATAAAATTATAAAGAGGTCATTTGGATACTTATAGGGTAAGTTCTGCACTCCCAAATAAAAAAACTTGTAAAACTGCAGCTTGATTTAGTCAGATTACAAGCTTATATAATTCAGCAAAGGCCATTTGTGTTTTAGTTCCAGCTCACAAGCTTGTTTAATCTGGAAAAGGTCACTTGCATTCCAGTTCCAACTTACAAAAAAATCTCATTTGAACATCGGCACCTCCTTGTTTCAAAAGTCTTCCCAATTCTTTAGAATGGAAAAGATGAGGTCCTGCAATATTGAATTTAAAATTCAAATTGGTTGGCTCGCCTAAGATCATTTTGCAAGCTCACTGGTGGTTGTGAATTCCCGTGATGCCAAAGCCAATCACTCCTCCCCTTTGAAATAATCTAAAAGCGTAAGCCATTTTTGAGGCAAGTGAATGCATGCATGTTCCCTGAGGAAAATAATTTTAACGTGGATAATAAATAGTATATACAGTACAGCTGATGAAACTAAAAAATGAATGTAGTAGTAACATTGAGGAGTGGCTTGGCTTTATTTACCCTATCAACAATTGGGGATGACAAGGTTCGTAGCTTGAGTAATGATCCCAGACCAAGAGCACTAGCAACCCAAATATATAAGAAAAGGCAGCAGAAGTCAAAGAAATGCATATCTGTTAAAGATTTTTCTAAATTCTCATATGAAAAGCATAAAATGGTGATGCCTATTTCAATTCACACTAGCTTTTATTACCTCATTCTGATTTATCTCAACGTAGGGGATGTTGTGGGTGAGAGTCCAGTAGTCTCCTTTCGCTTCAAAGCGCTGTCTTTTTAGATGCGGACACATCCCGATGTATAGGTACCCAAGCGAAGGAGGGAAGGCTTCCCTTGGCAAAGATCGTAGCTTCGGGCAGTCCCTCACTGATAAGTAACTAAGGGAGCTTAGGTTTTGGAAGAGCCCCCCAGGTATGGATTCCAAATTTTCTTCATTCCAGATCTTCAGAGAGGTTAAAGAAGAAGGCAGCACAATATCCAGAGGGAATTTCTGCGCAATTGTCAAATTTTGAAGAGACAAAAGGTTTTGGAGGCCTATCGTCAAAGCCCTACCTGAGATTGATAGCCTCTGAAGCAATGTGAGCTGGTACATTGTATTCGGCACCCTCTTAAGATTCTTACAACCCCATAATTGAAGCTCTGTTAAGTTTGGGGGCAAACCCCCATCTAAAATGAACTCGATGCCAGGGCAGTCTGTCATCGATAGCATTTGAAGAGATTTCAGCTAGTACATCGTATTTGGGAGGGATATGAAATTCTTACACGTCATTATCTGCAACTTCTTAACATTTGGGGTGCATAATCCCAACCCTTCTGGTAAGGACTCTAAAATTTCATAGCTGCTAATGTATAATTCAACGAGATTGCTGACGCAATTAAGGGTGGGTAAACTTTTCAACATTTTACAACTCCAAATAAAAATGGATTGGAGTCCCGTACACTGCTGCAACATCCTCTCTGGAAATGATTCCAACCACTCGCTACCGTTATCAACTGTAAATTTCTTGAGAAACGCTGGTAGCTGATGACAACCCTCAGAAGAATACAAACATGGAACATTCCTTATTTCCAAATGTAGATTGCTATTATTATTGTCACCATCAGCATCCGGTAGAAACTCAAGACCTTTACAGTCTGCTATGTTCAAGAATTTAAGCGTGATGGGTAATTTGCCTCCGGGAAAAGACTTGAGAGAATCACAACCCCGAATTTCCAACTTTTCTAGTCTCGACATGAACATACTAGTGTTGCTGCTACTGCTTCCATCCACCTTCATTGTCATTGCATCGGCTAATGACACCAAAGCTCTACAACTCAAAAGGCTAAGATGTTTAAGATTAAAAGGCAAGAGGGCTTGATCTATTTCTGTCCCTTCCTTCCACAAACAAGTAAGATCATTACAACGTTGAATATTCAAAGTCTCAAGTGCTGTCAAGGATTGTGTAAAACTTTCAGGCAAGCAAGTCAGTTCTACAATATCCTGTATACTCAAGCTAGTAAGGGAAGTGAGATCAACCAAGCTCTTAAAAAGCACCCCATTGCAGTGTCCAATATACAACTCTTTCAATGATGGAAGACTCACATTCATAGGCAAGCAAGTCGGTTCTACAATATTCTCTATGCTCAAGTCAGTGAGGGAAGTGAGATCAACCATGCTCTTAAAAAGCACCCCATTGCAGTGTCCAATATACAACTCTTTCAATGATGGAAGACTCACACTCATAGGCAAGCAAGTCGGTCCTTCAATATTTTGTATTACCAAGTTAGTGAGGGAAGTGAGATCAACCATGCTCTTCAAAAGCTCCCCGTTGCAGTAGTCAATAGACAACTCTTTCAATGATAGAAGACTCGTAGGCCAGCAAGTCATAGCTTCGCAGAGTAAAACCTCCAACTCTTTAAGTGAGGAAAGGTTGTTGGGTAGTCCTAACAACTTAGCACAACAACAAATCACAAGCCTACGAAGACAAGGGAATTCACCTTCACTTCCAGTTAGAGAAGTCCATTCCTTCCAATTTGACATGTTTTGAAATGTCAGTTCCTCCAGTGATCGAAAAGAGTCATGCCGCCCATAAAACTCAGGACCTACAGCTTCTATTGCCTCCATGCCTTCAATAATCAATTTTTTGAGAACAGGTAGTAGGCCAAGTGATGGTAACGAAGTGCATCTCGAACAATACCTAAGCTCCATGGATGATAAATTCAAAAACAAGGATGGATCACAAATCCAGTTTGGGAAACTTTGGCCACCATAAGAAGAAATTTCGAGACTTTTCAAATTTGAATGAGGTTTTAACCAATTGATGAGCACTTGCATTTCGAGGACTGATTCATCTTCATCATCAAGAGCAGTCCACTCCAAGACTAATTCTTCCAAACCATGGATCTTGTCTAGGTTGGCCTCCCAAGCGTCTTGAACATCCAAAACATTCTATAGATCTAGAATAGACAGTCTTCCTTGAAGTTGCGACAAGTTCTTCAATTCAGATAATCTCATCATTCCACTTGCCTTCCCCACAATAAATTTGGACAATGTTACAAGATTTTTAAGATCGCCTATTCCTGACGGCATCTCTTTTAAATGTGGTGTATGAGTGATATCAAGATGATGGAGATCAATTAGATTCCCAATTGTGGTAGGCAACTTAGTAAGCATTTGACAACCAGATAATAGTAGTGTTTGCAAAAAAAGAAGAGAACCCACTGATTCAGGTACACATGTGATAGATGAACAAGACAAATCAATGTACCACATATGTTTCAAATTTTCAAAAGAATTCGGTAGCTTGCTTATCTGATAGTTGCAAAGAGATAGCACTCTTAAGCAATTTAAAGTTGGTAGGACATTATGCAAGATGTTAGACAAATAGAAGCCATTGCGGTGACTGAGTGCTTCGGTTACTTTTAGCGGTAAGAATGTTCTCAAATGCTTTAATTTATGCAAGACTCTGAATCTTTCTGAGAATTCATAAACATTTGGAGTGAATGACAAATGACGAGCCTTCTCTAATTTTTCATCACCCATACTACGTTCAAGATTGCAATATATTTCTCCAGCAACATCTATAGCTAAATCATTTATAAGGTCATGCATCACAAAGTGTGATTTATTTGTGCTTGATTGTTGAAAGAGTGATCTTGATAACAACTCTTGGAAATATTGATGACCGATCTCCTCTTCCATTTGCTTCTTTCCACGTGACTGTTGTTGTAATAGGCCCTCAGCCATCCATAACAAAACCAACTCCTTTTTGTCAAATTCATAGTCTTTAGGGAACAAAGCACAATAAGCAAAGCATCGCTTCAAGTGACAAGGAAGATCATTGTAGCTCAATCTCAAAGCAGGAAGAATTCCACTTCTATCTTCTGATAAACTCCATATGTCACTATTTAATATATTTTCCCACTCATCACGACACAACTTTCCCCGCAAGACACCACCCAGTGTTTTTAGTGCCAATGGCAATCTCTTGCACCTCTCAACAAGCTTCTCACCAACATCTTGTAGGTCTAGGTGCACATCAAGGTTCTCTTTCCCCAGTGCATGCCATGTAAATAATGGCAAACAAGCATCATCTTGTAGCAATTGTAAATTGTAAACTCCAACATCTCCTCTCATCATCATCCCAAAATCCTTATTTCGAGTTGTGACAATTATTTTACTTCCAGGTGCTCCTGACATGAAAGGTCTCTTCAATTTATCCCAATTGCCGTATTCCTTATTCCAAACATCATCCAATACAAGAAAAAACTTGCGCCTAGATAACTCCTCTTTCAATTTCGTTTGAAGTGAATCAAAATCATCAAGATCACACTTTCCACTAGTTACCTGTTCTAAAATGGTTCTTGTTATTTTTGGAACATCAAATACATGGGCAACAGAAACCCATGACTTCAAGTCAAACTTGCCTTCCAATTTTTCATCATTGTAAATGAGCCGAGCAAGAGTTGTCTTGCCTATTCCACCCATTCCAACAATGGGAATGACAAAGTCTTGTTCGAGACTACCTCCATCTTCTAGCAACCTCTGAAGAATAGCTTGTTTATAACTATCTCGACCCAACACCATATCTTCAAGAAGAGAAGACTCGGTAGTCTTTTTGCAACTACTTTATGAGACTTATCTTCAAGTTTCAAAGCCAGATTGAACAGGCCAAAAGTATGCATCTCCTTTTCAAAACGCTCCAATCTAACTTTCAGATAATTCACCATGGAATCAATCTTTTGATTGGGTTTGGCCTTAGATCTAAATAAATTCATGATATTGGAGGGGAATTTTTGTCGTTTGTTGGGTCTAGCATCAGGTTCTGCAGTCAATTCGGACCTCCTGGCATCAATCACAAACTCTTCAAGTATGTCCTCCATATCATAAGCCAAGTCCTTGAGATCATCAAGATATGACTTCACAAACATGTTGGCGCCTTGATTTTCTTCTGCATGTTGAAGTATAGCTGTGATTTTGGACAATAGAGTCTTCCAGCTTTCCATCTGGGCACGTACTTCCTCCTCTGAATTTTGTAGCTGATCACTTATATATCCAATCAACTGATCACTTATATATTCATTCAACTTTTCACGTAGCCAGTCAAATATACCAGGTAAAAGAAAACCTCCAGCAAAAGATAAGAACTCCATTGGATGGAACAACTTTTCTACATAAGAGAAAGAAATGAATTGAAATACAAATTAGGCTAATCTATTAAATACCTCACACTATTATCAAATTAGTATTTTATCCTAATGGATTGATTTAATTCGTTTCGCGTGTTGAAATTAAAAATAGCAAAGATGATAGAAAGAAAGCAAGAAAAATATATATCATAGAGTTTGATTTATATCTTCCTAAAAATATTAATTAGAAAGTATTAGTACACATATACATACCTTAATTATGTTGTAGCTGCTTTTTCTTTCTCACTGATGGTCGAAGCTAAAAAGTAGTTTTTTTGTAGAGAGACCAGTTAAACTTAATTTGGTAAAATATTTAGAAATCTGTGTCAAATAAATAAAATATTGTGTCAAAGCAAATAAAATATTAGATTGAAAGAGACAATAAAACAATAATTAGGAAAGAAAATTTAATCATCATTATATAAATTAAAAACAAACCTTAATTAAGAATAATTGGATACTCTAATGAATTAAAACACAATCAATAAAAAATTCTAAAATAAAGATATATTTAAACAGGACTAATTAAAACACTTAATATTATTTGTCTGATTCAATCAACATAATGGTATATATAGAGGTTGTTTAATGTAAAAATGAAAAAAATAATAATAATAACACACTCATAGAAGTAATATATCATGGAAGTAATATGCGAAGAGATATATCCATTAAAAGATTGCAACAAGCCAAAGAAAACATATAGGAAAATGAAATTTGAGTAAAAATAATTTAGCCATCCATAGTTGGGGATTAATTAAGAAGCATATCTCTGCTTTAACGCTCAAAGCTGGAAGCGCGAGTGGAGATATTTTCTGGAAAATAACTGCAACAATGGAAGAGGATGGGAAAACGAGAGAGACTGTGGATGGTAGAAGGAGATGGATGAAGTTCTGAGAGAGAATATTTAGGTTGATAAGGAGTGTAAAATGACTGATTTGAATGTGCTACTAAAGAAGAGTTAAATCACATATCCACTGCTGCATTATATACTGATAGCAAAGTTTTAAAAACCGAACCGGAGGTCAAACCGTTTTGACCTCCGGTTCCCG